TCTGGGCACCACCTCAGAGCAGCTGTCAGGAAAATACAGAACAGGCAGAGGAAAGCCATGTCAATTCGATGAGAAAGTGACTGAAGTCAAGATGCCTTGTCAGGATCGATTACATTACAGATCCTTTTTTGGATCTTGTCAAGAATCTCGAGATATAGAGCAGGAGTACCAAATCAGATATGGCAACATTATTCAATGCACGGACAAATGGTAGATTAATAAATGGAGTTTCCGCTTTGCCCGATCTACCGCTGATATGCTCACGTCCTTAACTGAATTTGTATACCAATCACTTAACAATATTGGAGAATCTCGAGCCGTGGCTCTAGAGATCTGTAAAGTGTTTGATAGTGTTTGGCATGCCGGCCTGCTTCGTAAGCTTAAGGGATACGGTAATACAGGATAATTATTTGACTTACTGTCAAACCGTGAAATGAAGGTCGTCCTAAACGTGTTCTCCTCCGGCTCCTTTGTCACGGACGTTGGTGTTCCCCCAAGTCTCTATCTTGGGCCCTATACTGTTCCTGATGTACAAGATGGATTTTGACGTGAAAAAACTTTCTGGCACGAGTGAGTGAACCAACTTCCTTGCAGTAGACGGAGCAATTAATTTGATATAGTCACTCCACTTCATGTCAGGGGAAAGGTTGAGGCCAAGAAGGAGTAGAGTGTCGATTTCCTGGAATTTAGCATCAACCAGGCTGATGACAGACAGAAAAGTTTCTCTGTGGTGGAAGATGTTATAAATTTCATCCAGCAGTAGCACTGACTACTCGTTTAATGAATGTCTAATGTCTTTATATAAGGAAACGTCAAATATTACTATTACCGTCTCTAGACAGATTATCAATGAAGTTCTCAGAGGTTTTATCGCCCCATTATATCAAGACCTTTGACAGTTTTGTCGACACAATTCCACACACAATGCGTAAGTCAATCTGTGGCATAGTTTTCAAGCAATTTTTAAAGTTCATCTAGCCATATATTCTTTCCAACAATATAAGTAATATGCATTCTTCTATGAATTGGATTCATTGATTAAATAGTTTTCGACGACTTATCAACCCATTCTAGGTTATTTAAACCCAGAAAATATCTTGAGATTCGAGGAATCTTTTTTTTTCTATTTTTTCTTTAGATGATAATGATTTCGATCTCCCTATAGTTGGACAGAACTCTATTGACAATTCCTTTCTACACATGTTCGATCCTGTATTGCTGTCCCCAGATCCCCAATGTCCTAACCTGAGTTTCATCCTATGGTCTCTGGAAAAGTCAATTTTCCTTGAAAGAAACTTCCCGAAGGATGCCATAGGAGTAAGGGTGAGACGATTTCCATGTCCGCTCGGTGGCAGTGGACGGCAAACTATAATAGAATGAAACCGCCCAGAAGTATATTTATTGTCAAAGGTCTTGGTATAATTGGGCGATAAAACCTCTGAGAACTTCATTGGTAATCTGTCTAGAGACGGTAATAGTAATATTTGACGTTTCCTTATATAAAGACATTAGACATTCATTAAACGAGTAGTCATTGCTACTGCTGGATGAAATTTATAACATCTTCCACCACAGAGAAACTTTTATTTAGCACTGTCAAAGGTCTTGGTATAATGGGGGAACAACAACGTTCGTGACAAAGGAGCCAGTTACGTTTGAGCTTAAGAGAGATTGGTCTCAGTCCTCCGTAAATTGTGTTTATGATTTAGTGATAAAAGTCTTATTAATTAACCAACAACTGTGCGAAAAGAATTGGATGCATACCTTTCCCAATGGTATTTACGCATAAGTGTGTATAACAAATACAACTGAAATTGGAACTCGGCTCTCCGATTAACAATCCCAGGTTACACCACCCGCAGACCCAAGCTTACAACACATGGTATTTCCAAGCGATCGCTAATCTATCTATATAACCAGGCTTGACGCTGATTAACAGAAACTGTTGTTTCAATGTGATATGTGTATACATTGGATAATAAATTTTTATGAAATTTATAAAGAAAGAATTCATTTGTAATTGATTTTAGGATAAAAATAAAAATTTCGAGGTGTTTTTTTTTTTTAAATCTCATCAGGGACTTTCTAAACATGACTATAGTTAAGATTGTCTCCTTAGTAAGAAGTTATAAAAAAGTCCAATCAATATGGAGACACGTACTCGGGTCTCAGGGGCAGAATGTTGACGTTTTAACCTCTGGGCTATGTGTTTATTAAAGTGTGTCCCGTCGAGGGTTATTGATTAATACTGTAATATAGACAGATCTCTGCAGAAAATAATGATATCTTTTCTGAAGTCTGTTCTTAAAAAAATAAAAGTCATATAGTCAATAAAAAAAAAATCTCCTTTTGACAATAAAATTAATTTGCAAACTACACTATACTATGTGCGAGTGAACGACAGCAATGAGATCGCCATATTTTTCGAATATTTTTTAACTTTTTTCTCATTTCCTATGGCTAGCCTAGTCATTCTAACGATTTTAGTAGCCAAAATAATTCTATCAGCTATGCTATTTTAGGTCTTGTAAAACATTCGACATATTAGTCGCCAGAGATAAGTTAGAGAAAATAGCTTTTTTTCTTAACGATAGCACAATTTTTGTCCGTGATAGTTTGTTAAAACAAAAGCGAAAAAAAAAAGATTCGGTTTCCTGTGAATTATTCTATATCCGCTTCAGTTAGGAAGAAATCGTTCTTAATATGATTTGGTTCCTTAAAGCAGACAGATGTTTACGTTGCTTAGAGGAACTTTTATTGGAGTATTAAAAGGAACCAACACAAATATTTCGGCCTTTTTTTTTCTTTTTTTTCTTCTTGTTTTTTTTTAAGATTATTTTTATTCCACGTTTTTTGTTTTTTTAGTTCCGTTTCTAAAATTGTAGAAGGTTATTCGTGATTGTCTTAGGCAGTTCATAAAAAAACTTTCTGAAGGCATTCATTTCTTTAAGCGTTCAATGGAGTTGGCGTGATTAGTTAGCAAGTTATGGACTTTCAAAACAAACAGTAAATTATAAACTTTCAGAACACCTTGGTTATAGGCGTGGATTTTATTTATACACCGATTAAAGTGTTTACTTATGCCATAAAAATGAGAGAAAATTTGAATAATTTTGCTGTTAGATTGGTAATATTTTCTGCATGAAAAATCTAGAAATTTAATCTATGCATATAATATGTTTCATTTTTTGATAAATTCAACTATAATAATTATATGATCTGTACAATTAACAACAGTTTTATTTAGAAAAGTAACTATAATTTTATATAATTTTTACAGCGATAGTGCTTATATATATATATATATATATATATATATATATATATATATATAAAAAAGGCTTAAACACTAATATTCCATGGTCATAATTTATTCCTTTGGAATCGTAAATACGATCCAATTCATCAGACCTACAAATTCAAAAAGAAAACAGAAAAAACAACTCCAGAAATAAAAATAGTATTTATAGAGAGTGTAAGTATGAGATTGTGGGACGAATTTTAGAGCTAAAAAGAGGGGTAACAGACGAGAGAAGGTGGAAGATTAAAACTTAACAGAGAGGAGTTTTAGAGAGGTGAGTTGAAGACGGTTTAAGTGAGAGAAATATGAATGTTGTCGGATGTCTAATACATTAAAGATGTAACCGGAAAGGATACATTTTGTGGTGACATTCACACACAATATAGACGATCTAAGAAGAGGGGGGGTGAGAGGAAAAGGAAATAAAAAAGGGGTGGGGGAGAGAGATGGGGCGTGGGAAACTAAAACTGAAGGACATTTACTGAAAGGGCCGCTGTATAATTAAGAAAATTTGACAAAATTAATATCGACTACAGGTTACAAATGAAATATAAACATATAAAAAATAAATATAACGATTATCTAATCTAGCAAGGATCTATATTTTTATGTTCAAAAACGCATTAACTATATGATTTTATATTGTGTGATTCGCTATAATTTTATATTACCTATACAATTAAATATAAGTTTTATATATCTATACAATTAAATATGATTTTTTGGTAATTATCGATAATTTTGTATTACCTATACAATTAAGTATAATTTTTATGTTATGTTTACAATTATATATGCTTTTTATATTGGCTAATTCTCTATAATTTGATATTAATTATACAATTAACTATAATTTTTATGGTATCTATAAAATGAAATATGATTTTTATATTATAAAATAAAAAATCACTAAATTTATATAACTATGACGTTTATTAGTTATGCAATTAACAATGATTTTTATATTAGGTAATTAGCTATAATTTTATATTACCTATACTGGTAACTATAATTTTTATCTCTACAACTAACTATACAATTACATTTTGCTTTGATAAATTATTCGATATACAAAATATCCAAAAAGTGGAAAACGTTACAAAAGAAATAAAAAGTAATGTTCACATTATTTACATACGGACTATTGTCCTTTTTGCTATCATCACAATGTTTCGACCTTTTTGATCTCCGGGCATCTTCAGTTGCTTGTCGAACCGTGTAATCATCAAGGTATTTTGAATTGAAATATTTATATAATCTACGGCGGTAGATTGTTTTCGTTCCGCTGTCCATGTCGAGGGGTATCTCGTACTTTATTGACATTAGTACTTATTAGTTATTGCTCACCTCGTTTCCACTGAGTCCAAGTACTCACCAAGTTTCCCATGAGATCCAGTAACTCTACTAGATGTTACTGTTAAAATCGTCTCTATAAAACCAGATAGATAGATAAATAGATAGATAGATAGATATCAGCAGACCGTCATACAAACATGGTGGAAAATAAACTCATATCGGAATATCCTTTCTGTAAATATTTTCATGTCAACTGATCTGATGAGCTTTTTTTCCCTACATGAATTGAAGTGTGCTACTAGATTGGCATCTAGGTCCCACCCTTTTACTGTTGAAATAACTAAATGCAACCGCCACCTACTCCTACAGTTTCTTTTCCCGCTTTACGTTTTCTTTTCTCCAGTTCCAACATTTCGTTTTCTTTTCCTGCACTTCCCGTCTTTCGTTTTCTTTTCACGCAATTCCCGCTTTTTTTCTTTTCCTGCACTTCCGGTATTTCGTTTCCTTTTCTCGCAATTCCCGCCTTTTTCTTTTCCTGCACTTCTGGTCTTTCGTTTTTTTTTCTCGCAATTTCCGTTTTTTTTTCTTTTCCTGCACTTCACGTGTTTCGTTTCCTCTTCTTGCAATTCCCGCCTTTTTTTTCCTGCACTTCCGGTCTTTCGTTTTCGTTTCTCGCAATTCCCGCCTTTTGTTTTCTTTTCAGGCACTTCCCGCTTTGCGTTTTTTATCTTTTTTTTTTTTTTTTTTTTGCAATTCCCGCCTTCCGTTTACTTCCTACCCTGATAACTAGAATCTTCAAAAATTTAAATACAACATCAATGCCCATCTTCTATCTTCCTGAATCCCTTTCATCTTTTCTCCTTTCCTCTATCCTCCGTATACTTATTCTTCTCTTTCCTTTCCACTCCCTGTAAACCCCTGCGTACTTGTGGTTCTCACGCTTTGTTTGGGGTGAAATGATTTAAAAACGATGGTAGCACTGCTTTATTTAGTAGCAGTCATTACCGCAGCGAACGTTGGATGATTTCCCCCAAAATGAAGAAGAGACTCTAGGCGACAGAGATGTGGTTCTGCATAAGGACGCTAAGGATATCATGGACCGAGCGTGTGAGCAACGATGAGGTCTTAGAGAGGATGACAACAAGGAGGAGGCTTATACTTAACATCAGAAAGAGGACGATGAAGTTTCTGGGACACATAATGAGGAAGGAGGGCCTGGAGAATCTGATACTCACGGGTCGAATAGTGGGAAAGAGAGACAAGGGAAAACAACGAGTAACATGCCTAGCGGGCTTGAATGAGAGAAAGTGGCCCGGGGGAGGAAGCAGAGAAAAGCAACTTGTTGACCTGCTAGGGAGAGGGAGTTGGAGAGCCATGATCGCCTACATCCTGAAAGGATATGGTGCATAAAAAGAAAGAAACACTCTTAGAATGACTTGACGAAAAATAAAAGTTAGAATGAGGCTTTCTTATATACATTTCATTTTCCGAGCACACCCATTGGCTCAGGCACATCTGTGTTTGTTCAACACACAAAAGAGCACACCTATGGGTCATACTGAAAATATGGCGACCGGACAGTTTTTTGGGAGAGACAGCATAATCTATCATAATCAACTTTTGAACAACTCCACCCTGGCTGGGTTCCGACCCGTTCTGTGCGACCAGTATCATCCACAATCCGTATTTAAGATATTTTCCAAAGCTGCTGCACGCTGGCATCACCTGTTCAGATCGATCACACGAAAAAGTCATCTTCTTGACAAATCGACCATAGTGAGTTTGGAACACTCAGGGACACACCCATAAATACTTCCGTACATGCACACATACGAACATTTTTTATATATGTAAATCTTTGCTTCTAGCATTTAACTATACAAAACGAAAAAACTATATATATATATATATATATACACACATATGTAGAAATAGGTCATTATAATGTTTTCGATATGATAAATCTTTTCATGTTACCATATCTCCGGATACTTCTTTTTTGTGTGGCTACTTTCATGAATAGTTTTAATGTCGAAACGCAAATAAAATATTATCTCCTCATATTTAATCCGATATTAAGTCACACGAATAAAGAAACGGGACGACTTACACTAATCTTCCAAGCAGGAAGTGCCTGTTTGTCTAGATCAAGCCTGGAAATTTTAGTTTTTACCTGACCTTAAACTCTGGTCTCTAAGCACGTACATAAAAAGGATTTTACCCATAATGCAGGCCATGCAAAATATCACTTCGTTTTCATTTATTTAATGCACGATTGCAACGGAAAATCAATGTCAACAAAACTGCATTGTTATGAATTTTTAAAAAATATTTCTTGTTCTCAATACCCTTCACTTTCTCCGTTACTCAATTTTTCTTCTTCAAAACCCTCACTCACTGTCTCCCTCTCTCATACACACTCTCTCTCTCCCTCTCTCATACACACACTCTCTCTCTCTCTCTCTCTGTCATATATATATTGTTATGGTAATTTACCCACGCACTCATGGACTCTCCCATCTATAAATAGGAGCAGGTACTGCCTTTTAGAGAAGGAAGTTTACAGCACTCAGCTCTGACAGTCGAACTGAACATTCTTGCTGTAACACTGTTGTTTGTATATGTTTGTATTACTGTTTTTGTTAATATATTTGTTTAACTCATTTCCTCTCTTGTGTCTTCATTTCTGGCCCTAACGAGGCCACAACACACACACACACACACATACATACATACATACATATATATATATATATATATATATATATATATATATATATATATATATATATTAAAGAAAAACGGACCTCTTTAAGGTACCATTATAATAATTTATTTTACCAGAGTCCTTTTAAAAGGACGCCGGATCATCAGATAGCACTTCCAAAAATGAAATGAAACGAAAAATGAAATTAAAATTGATGGGTAGTGTATGTTTTTGTAATTTAACAGAGAGTGTAAAAGGAGTAGTTAAAGAGACATGGTAGAGTTTAGGGAGGGTTTAATTTAATATCTCTCTCAATCATACTTAGTATTGGGGGAGGAGGAGTGACCAGACCTATTTAGACGGTTAACTTAACGGAAGTGATATATTGAAATGGGAGGGGAGAAGGGGGAAAAGGAAAAAGGGAAAAGGAAAAAGAAAGAAGAGGGTGAGGGAAGTAAAGAGAAAGAGGCTGTAACTGGGTTTAAGCAATTAATGTAAAGAATAGATTTTAATGCTTGATAGTAATATATATATATATATATATATATATATATATATATATATGGAAAATGCATGACAAAATGGAAAACGTTTTCTCTATCACGTCTACATTTGAAAAGAATCTAAACTCAAATTTGTTACGTCTACACCTAAAACAATAAAAGACTTAGTCAATACTAAACAAAACAATAAGTTAAGCTTGAACGAAGGAATAAAAATTGTCGCAAAAAATACATGGGAGAAACCTCAAAGACTCTAAATAAACGATTGCCTGAACGCAAAAGGGACATTTTACAAAAGAACACATCAAATGCGTCGGTTGCCCACCGTAACAAGACTAATCACTTTTTTTTTTTTTATCAAACAGGAGAATAAATTTATTGAAACAAAACAAGTTCAGTTGACCACTGATGACAATTCCAGAACAACGTAACTATAAACAATTTTTTTCTATCCTCTGCCAGCTGCAATGATGGAGAAAGCATTACCTCGAACCATGGCCAGTGAGACACGCTGCAAGAGCCACTCCGTTTCGCGAGGCTCGTCCCTTAATCGAGACGCAATCGCGTCAATCCTCCGAAGGAACGCCATCGAACAGGGGTCAATAATTTTGATATAAAAATGCTACTATGATCAAACGGGAAAACAATTCACTGCGACAAAAATCTTTCGAGTGCCTTGACGCCAGGTCACCTATTGCAGGGGTGGGCAACCTTTTTGAGAGTGCATGCCAAAACCGACCAAAGCTCTGACGCATTTTTTTCCACGTTCCAGCATAAATTTTTGTAACCTCAAAACTCGCAGGAACCAAGTTGGGACGGTGGCTTCATAAAAGTATCAGCCTGTTTTTGTTTCGCTCAGTTCACGAGAAATTCATTTTTATTTTTACTCTTCAGTTATATTGCTTAAGTTCTTATGAACACTTCCAAACTGTCCCTTATCAGAAGAGCTCTTAAAAACGATTGTTTCGGAACAGAAAATTCATAAGGCTTTATTTTCTTTATTAATAATATCACATTTTTCAGACCAGGATTCTTTAAATTCTCTAATATCTCCTTCATTTGAATGATCTCGTTTCTTAGCTAAAAATCGTGACTTTCTGTAAATCTTTAAAGGGAAAAAAATAAAAATACATGCGATAATAATAAATATGAAAGAATAAAAGAATAAATGAATAAGTTTCGCGTACCAGAAACAAGTCATCGGTGTGCCATATTTGTCACTGACCCCTGATCTAGAGTAAATTTGCACATCAGTTATCACAGTATGGGATATCTAATGAGAAAAGTGATGGAAAGAAAAATAATCTAAATAAAAATCCGCTTGATTTAAAAAAAAAAAAAAAATTCCCAGCATCCCTCGTCTGTGCGCATGTGTATTCGCACCAACATAAAAAACTCAGTCCAAAGAAGGGCTAAAGGACTAAATACGTCACAGGAAAACTTTCTCCAAACTGTCATGCATTTTCCTCAATAAGTTTTTGATATGTAAAAATATATATCGTTATCGCTCATATATATATGTATATGTGTGTGTGTGTGTGTTTGTATGGATTTTATTTATTTTTTAAAACGATATATTTTTATTAATTCAAACGTTATTTTTAGCGGATATCTGAATATGATAAGGCACTCCGTTTATTTAAACAGTGTTTATTTCAACTACTGGCGTCTTCGCTTTCGACAATAATAATAAAGAAAATATGACATCCTGTTTTTTTTCTTTTTTTTTCTTTTTTTTTTTGTTTGTTTCGTTTTCGTGCTTGATTCAAAAATCTTACGACTCATACAGCAATCGCTATCACTTGACCTAAAATATTTTTGCCCTTCCTTGCCTTTAAAGGAGTGCCCTTTGCCGTGCTGATGTAGCTACATGCCTTACTTCTTGCCTATCTCACACTGCGATTTTTTTCTAAGCTCTATACTAAACATTAAATCTGTTACGAAAAAAGAACTAAACAAAATGAACACAAAAACGATCAGCTTTAAAAAGGACACGTAACTGGAAAACCGAATGAAAAAAGAATGTTAACAACAAATTTTTTTTCACACCCAACCCAGTTCTGCGGAATCAGAATCAACGTTGAGTTTAAGCAAGCGAATGAGCCAATTGGAGTAAAGTTCCATGCAGATTTAAATTTTTCCTACTTGTGACGAATGCAACTATCGAATTTTTGCATGCTAGCATGCAAGTTAACATTCGTGTCAGTCAGCTGTTGGCTCTCACGCTGGCCAATAGAATCTTCCTGCCTATTCGTGGCAGCCAGCTATAAGCTCTCACTCTGGACAGTAGAAAATGGCCGCAAACTACATGAAAACTGCCGTAGAAGCATGAAAAAAATCGATTATTTCCACTATCGATGTGAGTTGGGAAATGCAAAGTCGGTGTTGGCCTTCCCGCTAACTTGGAGCATGTGCATGTAAATGTTGGTGCAAATCCGTCGAAAATTGCGACCGTGCATTCGTTACACACACACACACACATCCTGCCTTTTATAGATAGAGATATGATATTGAGTAATCTTCTTTTCATTCTCTCTTTTTTATATATATATATATATATATATATATATATATATATAT